GGAGGGTGATTAGTTGTTAATGGGGACTGTTAGTGACTAACAACAGGAGGTGTGTAATGGCAGGCTATACGATAACAAGGCCTGGCGTGTGGGGTGGGGGGCTGGGACATGGGAGAGCTTAGGCCCTAAAATTATTGAACTCGATATTGAGTCCAAAGGGCTGCAGGGTCCCCAAGCAGAAAATGAGGTGCTGTTCTTCCAGCTTGCGTTGAGCTTCGCTGGAACACTGCAGCAAGCCAGAGACAGAGATGGTAGGTAACCTACCATCCCACCAGCATCCATATCCAGAAGATCATCAGACGCCATTTCCACCACTTCCCGCGAAATGCCACCACCAGATACATATTCCCCTCCCCTCCCTTATCCACTTTCCGCAGGGACCGTTCCCTCTGGGACACCCTGGTCCACTCTTCCTTCACCCCCAACAAGCCCCCTACGGCACCTTCCCCTGCAGCCAGCAAGGTGCAACACCTGCCTATTTACCTCCTCCCTCCCCAGTATCCAAGGGCCCAAATATACCTTCCAGGTGAAGCAACACTTCACCTGCACTTTCCAGAATCTAGTCTACTGCATTCGCTGCTCACAATGTAGTCTCCTTTACATTGAGGAAACAAATGTTCTGCTCGTAAAAAAGACCCTGAACTACCCGTTGCCTGCCACTTTAACACACCCCCCTGTTCCCTGGCCAACATCTGTGTCTCTGGCTTGCTCCAGTGTTCCAGCGAAGCTCAACGCAAGCTGTAAGAACAATGCCTCATTTTCCGTTTGGGCACCCTGCAGGCCTCTGGGCTCAATATCAAGTTCAATAATTTTAGGGCCTAAACTCTCCCATGTCCTAGCCCCCTACCCCACACACCAGGCCTTGTTATCACATAGCCTGCCATTACACACCTCCTGTTGTCAGTCACTAACAGTCCCCATTAACAACTATTCACTCTCCCAGCCAGATCATTATCAACTCCTATGTCTTTCCAACTGTTCTTCTCTCTCTTTGAGCTCTATCCTATCGTTTACTCCCTACCCCATCTCCCTCCCTATTTTCTGCATATAAATCTGACGGTTTCCCAGCTACCATCAGTTCTGAGGAAGGGTCACCAGACCCGAAACATTAACTCTGTTTTTTAATTCACAGATGCTGCCAGACCTGCTGAGCTTCTCCAGCAACTTCTGTTTTTGTTCCTGATTTACAGCATCCGCAGTTCTTTCGGTTCTTATTGGAAAAATTGGATTGGCTCAGCTATTTGAAGGTAAATCCACATCTGACATGTGGGAGTCTTTTCGAAGTTAGTTGACCAGAGTTCAGGACCAGCATGTTCCTGTGAGGATGAACGATAAGTATGGCAAGATTCAGGAACCTTGGGTGATGAGAGATGTTTAGTTAAGAAGAAAAAGGAAGCAAAGATAGGGTTTAGGAAAGAGAAATCAAACAAGACCCTTCAGGAGTATAAAGGAAACAGAAAAGAACTTAAAAAAAGAAATTAGGAGGGCTAAAGGGGCCTTGATAAGCCCTTGGCAGATAGGTTTAAAAAGAATCCTAAGGCATTTTATAATAGGAAGGGTTTAGATGGATATGGGCCAAATGCTGGCAAATGGGACTAGTTTTATTTTGGATATCTGGTCGGCATGGACGAGTCGGACTGAAGGGTGTGTTTTCATGCTGTACATCTCTAGGACTTTATGACATTTATTAGAAGCAATAGGGTAACTAGGGAAATAATAGGTCCATTCAAATACAAAATAGGGAATTTTTACGAGAAGCTACAGGAAGTGGGTGAGGTTCTTGATGAGTATTTTGCATGACATGGATGATATTAAGTTTGGACAGGGGTGGTTGATACTCTAGGGCATGTCAATATTAAGAAGGAAGTGGGTGTTGGGTGTCTTGAAAACATTAAGGTAGACAAGTCCCCAGGCTGAGAGATCTATCCTGGGATAGTGGAGGAGGCAAGGGAGGAGACTGCTGAGGCCTTGACAGAGATCTTTGTATCCTCTTTAGCCATAGGCCAGGTCCCAGAAGATTGGGGAAAAGCCCATATTGCTCCTTTGTTCAAGAAGGGCAACAAGAATAAGCAGGGCTATATAGCCTAACATCAGTGGCAGGGAAATTATTGGAAAAGATTGAGGGATAAGATCTACTTGCATTTGAAGAATGAACTTAAGGATAGTCAGCATGGCTTTATGAAGGGGAGATCTTGTCTCACAAACTTGAATGAGTTTTTTGAGGAAGTGACAAAGATGTTTCATGAGGGTAAAGCAGTGGATGTTGTTTACATGGACTTTAGCAAGGCCTTTGATAAAGTCCCTCGTGGTAGGCTAGTCCAGGAGATCAAATTGAATGGAATCCACGTTGAGTTGACAGGTTGGATACAAAATTGGTTTCGTCATAGAAGACTGAGGGTGGTTGCGGAGTGATGTCTTTCTCTGACTGGAGGTCTGTGACCGATGGGCTCCCACAAAGATCAGTGCTCTATTTGCAATATATAGAAATTACTTGGATGAAAATGTTGGTGGTCTGATTAGTAAGTTTGCAGATGACACAAAAATTGGCAGAGTTCTGGATAGTGAGGATGGATAGCGAAGGATGCAGCAGGATATAGATAGTTGGAAAAGTTGGCTAAGAAATGGCAGATGGAGTTTAATCTGTACAAGTGTGAGGTTATGAATTTTGGGTGGTCAGTGCAAGAGGAAAGTATAAGTGTAAGTAAATGGCCAGACTCTTATGAGCTTTGACATACAGAGGGATCTTGGAGTCCAGGTCCATAGCTTCCTGGAAGTGGCAACACAAGTGTATAAGATGGTAACGAAGGCATACAGCATGCTTGCCTTCACTAGTCAAGGCACTGAGTATAAAAATTAGCAAGTCATGTCGCAACTGTATAAGAATTTGGTCAGACCACATTTGGAGTGCTGTGCGCAATTCTGGTCACCACACTATAGGAAGAATGTAGAGGTTTGGAGAAGGTGAAGAAGAGGTTTACCAGGATGCTGTCTGGATTGTAATATATTAGATATAAGGAGAGGCTGGACAAACGTGGATTATTTTCACTGAGCATCAGAGCTGAAGGGCGACTTGAAAGAAGTATAAAAAACGAGGGGCATGGATTGGGTGGATAGTCGGGGTAACTTTCCCAGGGCAGAAATATAAAATACTGGGGGTGGCATAGGTTCAGTGAGAGGTAAAAATTTAAAGGAGATGTGTGAGGGAAGTTTTTTTTAAAAACAGAGGGTAGTAGGTATCTGGAAGGTGCTGCCAGGGAGGTGGTAAAAGCAGATATGATAGCAACATTTAAGAGGCATAGACATACATATGAACAGGCAAAGAATAAAGAGATACAGTCCATGTGTAGCAGATGGGATTAGTTTAAAATAGCATCATGGCCGGCACAGATATCGTGAGCTGAGCAGCTTGTAACTGTGCTGTACTGCTCCCTGTACTTCAGATGCTCTCTGTAGTAAAGCAGAGGAGATTGCGAATACAGGTGACCAGGCTTCGGGGATACAAACAGTCGTACTTGTGGAGCCTTAGTCCTCCTACTTTTCAAAGATAGGAAGTTTATGGGCAACATCAAGGATTGCAGAATTGCACCTTTGAGGAGTTATGTGCGTGGACACCAATTTTCTCTGCTCATCTACAATCTCAAATTGTGCCATTCCTAGTATAATATCTTTCCATTTTCATCCTCCCATTGCGTTGTACTGAGCACCATTGGCCATGCGCTTGCACATGTCACCATTCCGATTCATCATCTATAGTTTGCAATTATCCTCGTCGCTATCCATGATGATACCAAGGTTTGTGTCATCTACATGTAATTTTGTTCCCTACATCTGAACGTAAATTGTTTATAACCTCTACTGTCCTGTCCTCAACTTTCCTATCCTCATTTACAATAACATTCACATTATTTGGTTCCTACATCAAAACAGATTTAAAGTACTGATTTAATACACTTCCATGACCTTGCCTCTATACAAAGGATTCTCTTTGGATTCTTAACAGGTCTGAATTTACTTTAGCTAACCCCATTACACTATGTAGGCTTAGAAAATGTTTTAGGATTCGGTTTAGTGATGGTTTTTAATATGTTCAAGCAAACTCTCCCTTCTTGATGAATTAGCCTTTTCCAATTTCTTCCGTACTTGCCATAACATACCTGGTTATTAAATGATATCAGAGATAGTAGGAACTGCAGATGCTGGAGAATCTGAGATAACAAGGTGTAGAGCTGGATGAACACAGCAGGCCAAGCAGCATCATAGGAGCAGGAAAGCTGACGTTTCGGGCCTAGACAA